CTCTGGATAGAGTAAAATGAAGACAACGATCGACGTCTTTCGATCGAACTCCGCAGTCCACATCTGACCCGTTAAGGTTTAATTCGTTTTCCCGACTCTGACACTGATCCTAACGTGATTTTTGTAACTTGAACTAACCGGGTCACTTTTATTTGCTTAGCCTGTACACATGATCGTAATGGTCTGCGGATGAATCATTGAAAACAGTTGCTCACCAAATGGCCTTTAATTCTTGCACTTAAGTTATACAAACTGACCCACACATTTATTCGCAGTGATAAGGTCTCCAACAGCTCGTCCAGCGAAGGATCGTGGAAGATAAACGGCACGGTGATAGTGTGTCAAATCATGCTCTTTTTGTGAATTTCGCCACACAAACACATCTGACATGAAATTTGCTCCGGTCTACCGAGCCATTGTGTAAATGTAGGAATGAGCCTTAGTCGATTGCTTAATGCACTCCCTGTCGAGCAATCTTCTCGAGTGAGTGTGACCGGAACAGGTGTCTAGGTCATGCCTGGTATTTTGGTGGATTGTCGAGCCGCTCACCTACGAGTGTGGACAAAACTCACACTGCCCGTGTGACCAAACGCCAGTCTGATTGTCCTCAAGTGCTCAATGTGTTTATATATTGCAACACAGGCAAATTTTGGGCCTTGACTGTCAAAATTAACCATCGGTCAGTTCGAGATTTGGAAATTTAATGTAGCTAAACCCTCCCAAGACTGAACTCCACTACAGGCCCTGTCCTTGAGTTCACTCTTCAGTTAGAAATAAAGGGAGCTAGGATGAAATATAAATCCAGTAGAATTAATGACGCACCGCACACAAGTGGTACGATGAATTGCGTACATAAATTGGGTGGGGTAGTTGCAGGACATCAGCAGTTTGCCCCTTCATTAGGTCCATGTCCTGCAGACCTCATGCCTGTGTAAGGGAAAGTAAGCACTATATGAAGAATAAGGAAAAACGCTTATCCAAGCCATCAAAGTGCGCATGTTTCCCAAATGCCTTCAGTGGGTCTTCAAGCTAAGTAAGAGTGCAGTAAGAAGTAGCGTAGATGAAGAAAAGATTGAAGGCAAATCCCATCTATCCAACTCATGGACATGCCCATATTTTCATAGGTCACCACTGGCTCAAAGTGGGGGGAACTAACCACAATACTACAACCTGGAACGTTAATTCCATCAACATCAATGTTGCGGTTGCAACGTTTGAACTCGGCTTAACCCGGCCAGTCACATCGCTCGCATACCCTTGGTCTCTAGGACATTCCGGTTTGTAATACGTGGCACCTTCTGTGTGCGACGCCCATGTATGTCCCTCCACCCCTTCCGTTGATAAGTGCATTCATGGGAATCGTGACGACCAAGGCTGGTTAGAGATTTTCAAGGGAAGGTTGGACTAGGTAAATGAAATTGGGTTGAAAATACGCAGCGTATTGGGGCCGGACACCAAGTAAGGTGAACGACGTTGAGCCAGTCCAGAATAACACAGTCAACTTGTTCACCGCTGGCCGGGTTAAACTACGGTCAAATGTTGCAACCGAAATAAGGACAAAACTGCACACATCGCTGATGGAGACTGCGTCCTGTGTGCAGTGTAGACAATTGTCGATATTGGTGTAAATGCAACAATATTTCCACAGTGAACCCAAGGATCAAGGGTGCGAGCTAGGGAATACACCACATGGTGAATGTGAACGGCATTAGTATTATTTACATATCCTGTTGCGTCGAAGATATCTTCAGAGTGGGTAGTTTATAACGTTCTGATGTTCGCACGGTTGAAGTCTGAAAACCCTATTTGTGCGAAATTTGCGGTTTCGCAAGCCACATTTCCTGAGCTGAGATAGATGGTAGTAATGTCATTAAAATGTCAATTGTCTGTATCTGATGTTATGTCCAGTACGTTGGGCAAGCCTCAAACATGCCAGCTTCCACTTCTCCAAACACAGAGGCTTCACTTGGAGATTCATCCATGACACCGACAGCTCAGAGCCGAAGGAAATCCGGTGCAGATAACAAGCAGGTAACGTACGCAGCGATTGTATCGACAAACACACCCGGGAGGGACAAAACATAGGTCCATCTTCAGTACCGAGCACGCGTGGCCCAA